TCTCGAAAACACAAAGCATTGGCTGAGCCAGTTTTACACAACTAGAACTAGGATCCAGATATCCCCTCTTTTTAATACTTTTACGCTTTTTTATTGAATACGACTGTATGTATGCATCATTATTCCTTGGATCTGCAAAATATGGGCCTTGTATATCCAAAATGTAACCATCAGTCCCAACAATGAGGACTGGTTTGATTAAATGTCGCCCTTTGTGTTGAGAATATGATTGCCGTAATACTCGGAAGTTACAAGTTTTGTCGATGTATAAATAAGTACCATCAATATAAACTATTGCCTTTGGTTCATTGGGTTGAGGGTTGTACAACTGATTTGCAAAATCACTTACGTGTCGTTGAATAAATTGTTCTCTTGCAATTGCGGGAAATCCCATATTATCAGGGACGACACGAATCATGAGAGATTTTCGTACTTTACTTATCACTAAACTTGTTGCCTGGCGGCTTGAATAATTGAATATGACAGTTAAAAACTCATCAGAAATACCTTGACGGAGTTTGCATAAAAATGCCAATAAATCTTTTTTAGAAATATGTCTGTCACCCCTATCTTGTCTTGGCACCGGTACACAAAAATTATACAAGTCACTAAACTGTTCCTTTGTCATCGGGGCAATGGATTTGAATTGTTCATCAGAAAAACTATTCTCGTCTACGTAATCCAATTTTCGTTTAGCGGCAGTTCTAAGTCCTTGCAGAAATGTTAAAAGCTCCTGGCCTTTCAGAGCGTAAGGTCTATTGATATACCTCAAGCCCATATGTAGGATAGGAAAAAAACTCACGATCATCAAGATGATATCTACAAGAACGGGTATTTTCTGGTATAAAGATGTTCTGATTTATAAACACGTCGACCCTGCTTTCTACTGATAGTCTCTGCAAATCAGCTATACCATTGCAGATGAGACATGTCTGTCTAGAGGTTTGGGTTAGTATATTCAGTTTCAAACATTCTGGATCTTCTTGAAGACGATGAATTTCTTGAATAATTGATTGATTGCATGTTATACAAATTCTTCTTCCATCCATAAATTCGAGATGTGGAAGTCCCCTTTGGTCTCGCCTATCAATAGCGATTTCTCGCTTCATTTCATTTGGTTCTCCCTCAAGTCGTACCATATTTTGTATATTGAATGCTGAATGACACGTAAAACAATTCAATCGACGACGATTAGCCATTTTTCAAATAATTATTACTTTGACTATAAGAACTTGACAGATGCAATAGTTGCGAATGACAATGTTAAACAGATGAATATAGTTGCTATGTGCCTGCCATATTACATTATTTGAACCAGAGCAATCTCAACATGATCAAGATGAACATGGAGTCCATCATGAGAAGAGATCACCGTAATTGAATGAAATCAAAGATTCATTCGGCATTTCAATTTATAATTTAGTATCCTCATTTGTAAGAATTTATTATTCGTCCTCACTCAATATTCCATTATTTTATATTACCATGATTTCATGATAATATGTGTGTATGTTTCCAACTAATTTATATATTCATTTGTTAAATACTGTCTGTAGGTTAATTGAGGAGGTGGAATATTCATTATTATACTGGTGAATTCTTGTTTTAGGCTCTTTGATAGTGACATCTTTGGGGCAAATCATCTGATTTCTCCTTACTACACGTACATTGAAATGATACTCATATTTTTATTTTATAGAAACGAGGTGAGAAAATCCCAATAAATCTAGAATAATTTATATATTCATGTTTATTGAAACTAATATAGCTGCTTCTATCTTTATTGAGTACGTTATAAACTCGGCTATAAAGTCAGGAGTACTTGTCAAATATAATAACTATGCCATCGTGTTGATTTTAATACTACCTTATAAACCAGCCAGATAGTATTGTTTGTTACATTAGGTATGTATTTTGGATAGTTGGGTTTATCTTTATAGTTTATATGTATTTTTGTATGTTTGTCTGTTTGACTCAAGAGACGCCAATGTATAATTAGCCAATTTGATGTTAGAAAAGTCTATCAGAGTCAATTTAGTATGAGCCACAATAGAAGCAGAAAACCTACCAGGTAAAATTGGCACGATCTCATATGAAAGATGTATGATATCACGATGCAAATTAATTTCAATTCAAATACGAACGCTCATGGATTTTCACGAATGAGAATTCAATCAAGCTTCCGTAATTCCAAGAAATAACAATAAATTGTGGATCGCAATCAATGCCGGAAGATATTGACATGATGACACCTAATGTGAAAATGAATACATGAAATTAGCCATTCATAATATATTGTTTACTACTTCAATTTTGTTTTAACTGTTAAGTTAACTTTACTTCAGCAGTGTTTGAGGGTTGAGGAATTCTAGAATTGAGTATGACGAGTTGTATTCAGGAGACTGTTCAAGAAGTTGAATAAATTCAACTATTTCATTTCGAGAAACGAATTCTGTATATTCATTGTTCTTGTTTCCTATTGTTGATTGTTTCACTATCACCTGAAAAACCTATGATACCTGCATATTATCAAAAATATACTACACACACATACTACTTATTTTTATTGAATATAATGTCGTTATGAAACAGGGTTAATAAAATGGGTCACAAGAATTCGCACATACTACTCTTGAGAAGTTATTAGCAAAGACCATTGATTTTTTATCCACTCCGTATATTTCACGGATTTGCAGAGTAGACATTCATCATAAAATGAACAAGATTCCCAATAGGTTGTTCAAGTTGTAAGTCATATTGGGGATGCCAATAATATTTACCTAACATGGATGTGACTTTATCAAAAATAAAACATCTTGTATATAATATTTCTGATTATAGGAGATGCTAATATCACGAAATGGGGATGATATTTATTATACTACAGAATTTAAATGAAATTCCACCGCACACTTTTCCGAAAATTACTGAATTATTCGCTATGTTCCGACCAACCCTGTATATTGTTAGTACGTGCAGGAATCATTATACTTTAAAGTAGATTGGTATCGGTCATTCGAACAATCAATGCACAGTTGATTTGGTTTCGAAATTATGAAAGGTGTCTTCACAATTTCTATCTAAAATTCTGGAAAAGTCAACTTTATCACCCTATATAATCGTAACTGTTGATTTTAGAGCGTTGGTGCAATGGAGACATTTGATCAGCACCACGAGTTCTGCAATATATCAAAAATTCGAGTAAATTCACCGAAAGCCAATTTCCCATTGATGCGGTGCGGGGTCCTTTGACGTTGTCAATCAATCTGATGTTGCTGTCTAGCAATACATCCAAGATGAAATTGTCATCTTTTCGCTGCAAATTTCAGACGGCCAGAAGATGCCAGAAGGCAACTATTCAAAGAAGGAAGTTATAGCGAAGATGGAATCAGATGAACAATATAACATGTATCATGATCATAACGATAGAATCTGCTGAGAGTTCAAATATGGGTATTCCACAAATGAAATTGTGTATATAAGGGACTCGAGAACAGCGGGCGGTAAAGTGCACTTTATGGCCTGTGGGCGATAATGGGCCCGCGGGCGGTGAAGTACTACTTTACGTCCGCAAATCTGGGCGGTAAAGTGCACTTTACCGCCCGCTAGTGCACAAAGGTATATAGAAAAAATATCAAATTTTGACTAATCTCTGGACGGGATCGAATCTACTCCCGTTTTCTTCATAAAAATGGTTATTTGAATAGCAGATTCGTCTTTGTCTAGAAACTTTTCAGTTCTCAGTGACAATTAGTGACGTTGGCAATCAAATGAGTTACAGGATGTTTTCATTAATCAATCTTGAATTTACCATTTTCATTTCCAGATTTCAGTAGTGAATACCATGTTCTATCTATATCAATTGAACAGGAAGCAATACTATTGTCTCCGTTCAGAAGAATGCAAGCAGATTCCTTGATTTTTGTCTTCTGCTTGATATCTTTTCTTCCATCAATAACAACAAAAATAATTCCATACATTCCCGGCATATCTGGAAAAATAAAACGTGAAAAGTTAAAATTGTGTTCAAAACTGCGAGAATACAATGAGATCAATTCTAGCTCAAACGAAGCCTAAAAATGAAGACCAATCATTAAAAAATTGTATTTACAGTATACCTTGTGTTTGTGGAGAGTTTTATACAGGTGAAACCATGATACATCTTTCAGTAAGGACGAAGGAACATAAGTACAATATAAAGAAAAGACACATCGACAAATCGAAACTAGCTGAACATGTCCTTACTGAAGATGCTCAACATATAGCAGAGTGGAATAATATTAAAACCATTGGAAAAGAGGATAACAACCAGAAGAGAAACATCAAGGAATCTGCTTGCGTTCTTCTGAACGGAGACAAAAGCATTGCTTCTTGTTCAGTTGATATAGATAGAACATGGTATTCACTACTGAGATCTGAAAATTGAAATGGAAAATTCAAGATTGATTAATGAAAACATCCTGTAACTCATTTGATTGCCATCGTCACCAAGTGTCACAGAGAACTGAAAATAGATAACCTCCAGAAGTTGAAAAAAAATTACAATACCTACCTTCTCTCCCCCTATCATACCTAGATACGCATGATCTAAATAAGAATAAATCTATAGTAGAAGTTCCTACCGCCACCTTAATCTTCAAATCCTTGTTAAATATAGTCAAGATGCGAATATCCAAAGATATTCCTCTTATTATCTGATTCTTCAGTGGTGTGTTGTGTTCTCTGGCATCTGCAGTAAATATTCAGTCCAGAAAATTTACCAGAGTATAGGGCGAGGACCTTCTGAGGTGAATAATTCAAATTTTTTTTTCAAAAGAATTTTCGATGGTATATAATTTTCATTTCTCAAAGTCGTGAATTATCGACGAAACTGCAAATTAGGTATTAGAAATTTGCTAACATCACTATAAGTAGTTACCAACTCTTTAGGTTCACTGAAAAAGGCAAACATGGACCATGGACTTCTTCCAAATATGCTAAAATACTGTTTATTTTTCCAGATACCAGTGGCGTAGATGGAATAAATTCACATATAAGAGGAAGATCAAGACATAACTCCAAAATACACCGATGTAAGTATAGGTATAAGTACGTGATGATTTGTTTTTTATTTCCTAATACCAAATGTTTCTTCTTATTCTCAATAAAATGCACAATTTTTCCCATCAAGAACAGCTATCCAATATTTTCTATATACCTAATTTCGCTTTTAGCTATAGATATTTTGTTTGAAAACACTTTTTTTTTTCGTCGAATCAAAGAAATCGCTAACCCAATTTGAAAACATCGAATATTTAGAAATTGTTCATTACCGGTGAACAGTTCCTGAAAATTATCCCTAATGAAATGAACAACGAGGTTCAAATCTGTGTATATCGAAGGCTGGAACCTTTGGCACGATAATACACTCCACACTATTTTACTAACCCAACCGATTTTTGTACACCTCGACACGTGTTTCGCTAACTATGTTCGCATCTTCAGGAGAAGATTGAAACTAAATGCTCTATCCTAGAGTGAATAGACAATAACAGCCAAGTTAATAGTATTCATGGTTGAGTTCACATGTTATATATGTGTTGTATATTAATAATAATAATAATAATAATAAATCGGCTTTATTAACGGAGTGGATACAAATTTTTAGTGTGCAACACTAATTTTGGCGAAGTCTAGCTGATAGCTACTCATACTCAACCAAATTAGGTCACAGGATATACTTAATATACATATATACACATGTTACAAATACAATGAGAAATCGTGAAACAAAACAAAAAAAATCAATCTGAGTTGCAGAAATACTTCTTAAGCTGGGCTGTTCCTCCAGGGGCGTGGGTGAATATGTGTTCATTGATTAGTAAAAAGAAACTGTTTGTATTTGTATTTGAATTTATTTATATTTAGAAGTTTAAACTCTTCAGGTAAAAGGTTATAAAGATGAATTGAATTGAATACAAATGATCTCTGAAACATGGAAGTGCGATGATGAGGCATAGTTAATTTTTTTATTTTTCTGATGTTCCTTGAGTGTACTCTGATACGTGGAATTAACTTGCTTTTTAAGGGGGATGATTGTGGCATATTCATCAGTTTCAAAACAAAGGTAGCTAGGTGATGATTTCTTCGATTAGTCATATTCAACCATTTGGTTTCCTTGAATTTTCGAGAAATAGATTCATATTTCCTGATGCCATAGATCAAACGACAGCATGAGTTTTGGACATTTTGTATACGATTTTTATCGAATGAAAGTAGACATGGGCCGTATATAAAATCACAATAATTGAAGTGACTTAATACCAGTGAATCACATAACATTTTCTTCAATTTTACACTCATGATATGACGGTTACAGTACAAAAATTTCAGTGATAAATAAGCTTTCTTCATCAAATTCTTGACATGTTCTGAGAATCTGAGCTCTGCATCGAGCTGGATGCCTAAATTTCTCGTTGACTCTACAATGTTCAAAATATGACCTTCAATATTAACATGCAAGTTTTCACTGATCGTATTTCTTTTGGCATGTGTGCCAAAAGACATCAGAGTTGTTTTCTCAGAATTGAGTTGTAGATCATGTTTTTTCGACAGATTCTTGATTGTTTCAAGATCCCGATTAATGAGAATTTGCACATTCATATAATCATCGATATCGAAGTGCGTATAAAGTTGTATATCATCGGCATAGGCTTGTACTTTGCAAAACTCAACAGAAGTAAGTATATCAGCAGTATAGATGATGAAGATGAGCGGTCCAAGAATAGATCCTTGGGGAACCCCTGAGAAGATATCCAAGGATGAAGAATACTCATTATTTATAGAAACTCGTTGTGACCTGCCTAACAAATAAGACCATATAAGAAATGCCGCATCATCATCAAAACCATAATAGCGCAGTTTAGCACAAATTAGTTCATGATTTATGGTATCGAAGGCTTTCGAAAAATCTAATAGCACAAGCAAGCTAGCCAGACCCTTATCTAATGATTCGATGATATCCGTTGTAACCATTGCCAGTGCCGTACCAGTGCTATACCCCTTTCTGAAACCACACTGCGAATCAGGTATCAATTTTTTCATTGTAAAGTATTCAAATATTTGATTATAAATGATTCTTTCAAAAATTTTAGACATAGTTGGTAAGATACTAATGATTCTCAAATCAGAAAAGCTCGAAGGATCACGTTTTTTGGGAAAAGGTTTACCAACAGCAATCTTCCATTGACTCGGAAAATATGACTTTTCGAAACAGCAGTTGATTATATGTGTAATATAAACGTCAATAAATGGACTGCAATATTTCATCATATAAGACGAAATTTGGTCGACACCTAAAGCCTGAGTTTTTATACCTTGTAAAATATTATGAACATCTTCTGCAGTCGTTAAATGAAATGAAAATTGGTTATCAAGATTAAATGAATTTGTACTAAAAAAATCAATCTTCTCATCACAATTATTGGTAACATTTTGTACAAATTTAGCAAAGAAATTATTGATTTCGTTGGGATTTGATAAATGATCAGGTATCATGAGATTATTATTAGCACGAATATTAAGATTGCTCAGTGCATTCCATGTTTTACGAGAATTATTTTCAGCACAAACTGACCTTAAATAAGCTTTTTTCTCAGCTCTCACCATCGACAATGTGTAATTACGAATATCTTTATAACTCGACCAATCTGCCTCCGTTTTTGTATTTTTGAATTTTTGTAAGGCTCTATCTCTTTCTCTCATTATTAATTTCAAGTTAGGAGTGAGCCAAGGAGCAGGTGGTTTGGTAACTCTTGCTTGTCTGATAGGAGCATGCTTATCAAAGTTTGTGATGATCAGGTTATTTAGAATCTTGAGTTTGTTGTCAATGTCCTCTTCCAAAATCACATCAAACCAAGGTAATGTTTGGAGGTCGTTCAAGAAGGAATCAATGTTGAAGTCTTTAAAGCATCGATAAGTTACACTTTTTGGTTTCATTTTAGGTCGATTCAATTTATATTCTAAATATACTAACATATGGTCAGATATACCATTAGAGGGCAATGTACCAGATTTTGTGATGAATTCGCTTTGATTCACAAGAATTGGATCAATAAGTTTACTAGATGTGGCTGTGATTCTCGTTGGCTCAGTCAGAATTTGTTCAAACCCGTAAGATTCAAGACAATTGTGAAGAGCATTATTTTGAATACTCAGAAAGTCATAATTGAGATCACCCATGCAGATTACGTCATCATAGAGGGGGCAAATGTTTGAAAAGATACTATCAAACTCATTGATTAAATTGTTGATATTATTATGAGGAGGTCGGTAAAATACACCAACAGCAAGTTTACTCATTTTAATTTTCACCTCCAGAAACAAATGTTCAAGAAAATTGCTCACCGGAAAGTCGAACGATATCCGTTTGGCATTGTACGAGGTCCTCACGTAAATACCGACACCACCTCCTCTTCCTTCCCTGTCACACCGAAATAAATTGTATCCAGGTACACGAACAGCATTGGAGCAAGTAACATCAGTCAGCCATGTTTCAGAGACCATTATAATATCGAATTCATTTTCATTAATAAGAGCTAAAAATTCATTGAAACCTGTAAATATCGACCTAAGATTCAAATGAGCTATTTTCATAATGATGAATGAAGAAATAAAGTACTTGTTTATGAAAAGTTAATGTTACAACAGTTACAAATAGATAGTGTTCATAAAATTGAAACACATATTTATCACCCACGAGACATAATATATCAGTCGCGAAGAAAATCTATATAATTTGAATGTTGAGTCCTATATCAGAATTAAAATATATTTATATTGTATATCTGTATATATATAAGTATACCAATGAATTTGGCCTTGGCCCGAAGGAATCAAGCTTGCTAAGATTATAGAAAATTACAAAAGTATGAAATACTTAGTATACAACTCAAAATCAGTTGATCTGGAGAAAAAAAAAAAAAAATATATAGAGCGAATCGTGATGCCGCTCTGACAAAGCAGAAAGAAAATATACATAGGTACGTACCTACCATCATTTGATTCATTTAAATCCCAAAATTAATATCAAAAGAATATAATATGAAATGCCCAATTTATAAATTATAAAACTATGTATGAAATATGCGTTTCAATATTGCATTAAATTGTGATTGATATATTGGATATAAAATGAATAATAATCAAATAATATCAAGTTTACTTCTATACTAAACACTAGGTAAATATAATTTGGATAACCAATGTGATCAGGAAAAAAGAATATACGCATTTTATATAATGTACAAAAACAAAACAAAGGAGTGCCATGGACATGGACCTTTCGCAAGAATCAGGAGTTTATCAAAATATCTACATCATTTTCACACTTCAAAACTTTCTTAGCGCCACCATATTCGACGTAGGTTAATCCATTGAAAGTCCAAGCAGCATTTTTGAAGTGTGATCTGGCCTTCTGGAAGATCTTCATGTTATCCGTCGTCAACATTTCAGTGACAACAATCGATGAACCTTTGAATTTTTTCTTGTTAGAAAAAACAAGGTCACGCATCCAGCGACGAACGAATTTAACAGCAACTGGTCTAGTTTTTGCAGTATTTTTTCCCATGCGAAATACATGACTAATATCAAATTTGTTTATATCGATTCCTAATTTGGTATTGAAAAGTTTCAATAAACCATCTAATATGTGATCATTATCTTCTTTGAATCCATGAATTATCAGGAACTGATTATTTCTTTGCATTTCTATGTTATTCATTTTGTCTGATATGCTGTTCATCTCAATTTTCAAAACTTCAAGATCATTTTTGAATAGATTGAGTGAATCATTAATAGATTTCTCGAATACTTTGAGTTTTCCAAATAATATATCATTATTACTATTATCAGACCTAGAAGTACTTGCATTTGCCTCGGAATTAAAATTATCTTTCAGCTCCTTCATACCATTATGAAACAGCTCACTCAACTTATCCATACGGGCACTTAGTTCTTTCACAGTCACATTACTAAACCATACAGAGGGCTAATTGGGACAGGTCCATTATCCTCATTCATTACTCTATCACTA